GCTGAATCGACGCGCTACATGTAAACCATATTCTTTGTTGTATTTTCCTGTCAAAATAACAGTTCATTTAGAATTATTCAGCTTTTAAGAACAAGCAGAAGATATGCTGGTTTCTCGGCAGTGGGCGGAGCTAATGCACGAACAGCTCTCATTGGTTGGCGCTCATCTATTACCGTCCCTGTTTTGATTTCAGCAAATCAGTTCGAGCGAACGCTGACAACGTGGTTAATATTCATGAACCCAGCAAATAGTAGTAGTAGTAGTATCTTTTAATAATAAGTACTATTACCTAAGACCAACAATATCTTAAACACCACCACCAGTCCTAAGTTCAGTTAAAATGACAAATGTGCATTCATTCATGGTTGCCAAGTTTTAGTTCTAATCACTAGTTCTATCATTAAATAGTGCTTAATTATCGTAATATCATAATGCTTGATTGGCTGAAGTTAAAAGTGCACATTCAGTTATTTAAGAAGCTGTTCCATTTTACAAAGATAATTGTGTGTGTGTGTGTGTCTAAAATAGTATATCAGTCTGGCGAGTAAACAAAAAAATTTACTAGCCAATGGCGATTATATTGCTAAGGTGTGCATAGAGGGTTGGTCTCATTATGGAATATGATGACAATAATATGTAGGTCTGCACGATATTTAGTTTCAGCATCGATATCGCGATGTGCGCATCCGCCATAGTCACATCGCAGGATGTGCGATGTTTAGTATAGGCTACTGATCGTTATATTTACACTGATTGTTTTCTTTGCTCACACACAGACATGGTATCTACACCGGATGCGACAGCTGTACAGAGATACCCATTTTAAATACATTTAGTAGTAGAGCTACTGCAAGGGATTTTCAGTGCTGGAAATCCATTTATTTGTTGAAACTTCTGCGTCGTCGAGGAGAGAGCGCAGGTCATGGTTGCTTAGCAACGGCAGACGCCACGAAAGCGCAAGCTCCCGATTGCTTTGGAAAGAAGGAGAAAGCGGCGTGACTGTGAACGGCCCCAAAGTCTGTCTACACTGGACGCGACAATCGTTTGAACTGTGCGTCAGTGCGTCATAAATAGAAGGCTGAATCAGTTTACTGTCGGGGATTTGTCGTGTTGCACCGCACCGCTAGCGTCCGGTGTAGACACTGTGAGAGCCACGCAGATGCACGCGAACACTGAATTCTGTTCACTTCTGCTTCTATTTGTGCCTGAAATACTGTGCTCTGCAAGTATCCTTGTAAACGCAGATACTTCTGGCTAAAGTGAAGGGAAACAATTGAGAAAGAAAATGGAAGTGTAACAGTATTTTGGTTCACAACAGTTTAATGTTCCTGAGGCTTTCTGTGTTATGAATGTTAATCAAAAAACATCACTTTTGTAGCTTTAACACAGATTTATTAGATTTAATTTATATAGTGAAGACTATGCAGTGTTATTTTACATTTGATTATTCAATTTCTGTACCTGAATACTGTTAGACTCACTTACCTGAAAAATATATTTCATTTGTATCTTTGTTCTGTTATATTTATCTATGCTTGTAATTTGTTTATTTCCTATGTTGATTTATTCACCTACAGCAAATCACCCCAATCATTGATTTTTTTTTGTTGTTTTTTTTCCCCCAAATAAACTGTTCAAGTCATGTTTTTTTTTTCCATATTGCATATATATCGCAGAAAAAAAAAAAAAAATCCCAATATCGTGCAGCCCTAATAATATGCATGTGCTGTGTGGCTCGAGAGATGAAAGCAAAAACATTGCAAGAGTGATTTTGTTTGGCTTTTTAACTGCTTGTCACCCATAATTAGCAAATGGATATACAGACATGTTTGTGGACAATTGAAATCTCGGTAAAGGTTGGCGAGGGAAGAGATATATCCTCTCAACATCTCACTAATTAAAAACAGCTTGGTCCCCAGTTGATTGAGTAAGAGAAAGGAAAGAAAAGTGTTTCTTTATGTGGAAGATTCTTTGAAACCATGGTGAGAAATCAAAGGTTGACCTTCTCTGTCTGTTCAGTGCCATTGCTGTAGAGCTCCTGTGGCGAGTGTAACTCAATGCACTGTAGTGGGAATCAATGTGATGGAAAAGTGGGATAACTTTAGTTCCTCCTCACTGGATATGTGTGCCTTTTCCTCTTCAGGATAGCAGTCTTTTTATGTTTTGATTTCTAATGTCACTAGGTGATGTAGCTAATTTAAATTTGATTACTCAGTGGTGTTTGCAGTCATGCTACTGCTAGTATCAGCTCTGTCTTTGGTGTTTCTTCTAAAATTTGTATTAAAGGTTTAGTTCACCCCAAAATGAAAATTTCTGTCATTAATTACTCACCCTCATGTTGTTCCAAACCCGTAAGACCTTCGTTCATCTTCGGAACACAAATTAAGATATTTGATGAAATGTGTTTTGCAAAGCTACGAGAATACTTTTTGAGCGCAAAGAAAACAAAAATAACAATTTATTCAACAATTCTTCTCGCCCGAGTTACATCTTCCACCATTTTATACTTTGTATTAGTGTTGTCACGGTACCAAAATGTCAGTATTCGGTACCAATACCAGTGAAAATCCACGGTTCTCGGTACCAATTTCGGTACCAAAGCAAAACACAAAAACATGCTAATTGAACAACATTTTTATTAATAACGTTAAACAAAAATTAAATGTACAAAACAATGCCATTCTTTATACTTATTTAAAAGTGTTTCAAGTTTTTCCACAAGTAATAAAAGTAAACAAGTTTCACCCAAAAGTTTAGTCATAGTTCTGCTGCCACTGAAAAACATCTGTAAACTGTTGTCTGTTTTAGGGTTTGCTGGTGTGTTTCAGGATCTTCCTCAGTCTGCAGCTGTAAAAGGAAAATATAATATACTTCAGTAAAGCAATGGGCTGAGTCTGACCAAATGCAACATAAGATCATTGACACCAGCTAAAATATAACTTTTCAGTAAATAACAAACCTCAGCTTTTATAATAAATTTAGATAAGATTGCAAATATTAAGTGCATATCAAA